TCGTGAGTGTCAAAGTGCACGTCAGCTTCTCCAGTGGCCTTCCCACTGGAGCTGTATTCCATGGTGATTCTAACAGGCTTCAGTGGAGCAAAAAACTATACAAGAGAAACACAAAGGAAACACAGAGAAATGTGAGAAGGCCATCTAGGTTTTTAAGTTTTCTCTAAGTTTGAGTCATATAGCAGATAAATTTAAATTTCGACAATCTCCTTAACCAGTAAAATAATACACATTTACTACCTCTCTGGGCTTTTCCAATTCTGCCCAAACTCAAGTTATATTTTTTATATTTACTCCTTAATAATTAAAAGCTCTACGTGTAAACCCTATGAACTTGAAGAAATGAAAAAAGTTATTCAAGTGTGCAGGTCTTTCGTTCATAGGGTCGCTATGAGTCGCCTACGACTTAACGGCATTCAACAACATATAATAAAAAGCAAAGTTGGCATGATGGACAGAAAGTGATGCTACCAAGCCAAAGGTGGGTGATTTTAATCTGCAGCCCTCAGGCCTGGTTTAAATTGGTTTTGGTCAAACATTCTTCTAGGTGGTATAGTACTGGTCTGTCAGTTTGCTATATAGAGGTAACTCGCTATGATGTTGAACACTGTGACCCTGATATGTCAAATGTGATATTGGTCACCCATGGTGGACAGTGTTTGGTGGCAATCCCCGGTTAAAGCAAGCTTGGAAACAGGAATGGTATCCACTTCCAAAACAGCTTGCCTCTAGAAACCCTATGAATTTAGAGAAACGAAGAAAGTTATGCAAGTGTTCATTTAGGTCTTTTGGTCACAGGGTCACTACAAGTCACCTACAGCTCAACGGCATGTAACAAGTGTAAATACTTTAATCCAGGACTAATTTTAGTATTTGTTCCACATACATCTATCTCTCCCTGATACTAAAAACTGTCCATCAAATAGATGTCATCTAATAATTGGTTTTTACTATTTTTTAATCAGACATCTACTTACTAAGCAGCCTTATATCAGTACTACATAAACAAAGCTTTACCTTGAGTTATCACACCTACAAACCAAAGCAACAGGAAAGAGTTTTAACATAACTGTACACTCATTACCTTGGTATAGATATGATTCCCATAAGTCTTTTTGAAATAATGAATATTGCTTGAATGGCTCCCATTTAGTAATTCTATATTTAAAACTACTTAAAATTTATGCCTCATGACTTTGCTATGTTGTCTTTTTTCACAGTGTCAAATAGAAAATAAAAATATTATTTAAAATTCACAAAATTTAAAATCTTGACAATCTAAATAAAGTTGCAAACTAGTACAGCATACCGAACCTTAGTCTAAAATCAAGCTCCTTTATTTTGAACACTAAATCCACATCCTATTATCTGGCAGTTATAAATTCTCTTCTATCTTTTATTGTAATAATATCCAGATCCATATTTTTTTTTCAGCTACAGAAAATAAATTAAAAAAAAATCTCTGGAGCTATGAAGATGCCATCCTAATTTAGATACTGCAGAAATATTGTTTCTTCTCTACTATCTCTAAATAAATAGAGGCTGAATTTCACTACTTTTGCTGAAAACTATTGGTATTGAGTATTATCTTACTGTCACACACATTTATAATGTCTTGGGCATTAGCTTGGAAAGGCAATCCTCTCATGTGAACAAAATGTAGTGAAGGTGTAGCTCCAAAATCAACAGCCTCTGGAAGCTTTTCTGACATTTCCTTGGGCAACTCTGAAAGGTAGAAAAAAGAGCACTATCAATTATGTAATTGTTTCAAAGGTTTGTAACAAATTATAATTAGCTATGGCCTTTATGTCAAAATCTTCCGTCTTAAATTAGTAGGAAAGACAAAAGTATGTGAAATTTCTGCCTTCTAACAACTATCTCCTGAACACCTAAAACCATTTATTATAAATTAACAGTATATCCATATAACAGAGAAAATTAAATTATAATGAATGAGACTTAAAAAACAAGAGAAACATTCTAGATTACATGCACTGAAAAGAGAATATGCTTTTTGCTCTCTGGGCACCACCATGGTGGTCACCTTACAATAGGTGGCAAAAAAGGAGCCAAGAAGAAAGTGGTTGATCCGTTTTCTAAGAAAGAGTGGTATAATGTGAAGGCATCCGCTATGTTTAATATAAGAAATATTGGGAAAACACTAGGCACAAGTACTCAAACTGCATCTGATGGAGTCAAGGTTCGTGTTTTTGAAGTGAGCTTTGCTGGTTTGCAAAATGATGAGGTTGCATTTAGAAAATTCAAGCTAATTACTGAGGATGCTCAAGGCAAAAACTGCCTCACCAACTTCCATGGCAAGGATCTTACTCGTGACAAAACTTGCTGCTTGGTCAAAAAATGGCAGGCCATAACAGAAGCTCACGCTGATGTCAAGACTACCAATGGGTATTTGCTTTTTCTGTCTTGTGTTGGTATTAAAAGATAAATAAATAAAAATAAAAAATGCAACAATCAGATTTGGAAAATATCTTAGCCAAATCTTGAAGAAAATGATGGAAATCATGACCTGAGAGGTAAAGACAAATGACTTGAAGGAGATGGTCAATAAACTGATCCAGACAGCACTGGGAAAGACAGAAAAGACCTGCCAGTCTATTTATCATCTGATATATTTTTTAGAAACATAAAAATGCTGAAGAAGTCCAAGTTGAAATGGGCAAATTCATGGAGCTTCATGGTGAAGGTGGTAGCTCTGGAAAAGCTACAGGAGATGAGACAGGTGCTAAAGGTGAAGGTGCTGATGGTTATGAGCCACCAGTTCAAGAATCTGTTTCAAATTCAGACTTTAAATAATGACAAATTAAATTATTTGTGGGGGGAAAAAAAGAACATGTTGAAGGATAATCTTGCTATCATTGTTATAAGGTGCAATCAAGTTAAGTACAACTCATAGCAACCCTATGAACAAAAGATCTGAACCTGGTTCTATCCTGCACCATCTTCACACTTCCTGACACACAAGAGCCCACTGGCTGCAGTCACCGTGTCAATCCACCTCACTGAGGGTCTTGCTCTCCTTTGCTACCCTCCACCGTTTGCTGCATCATGTACTTCTCCAAGGAATAGCCCCTCCTAGCAACAAGCCCAAAGTATGTGAGGCAAACCCTCATCAATCTTGCCTCCAAAGCAGCTGCACCCTCTCCAAAATATATCTCCTCATTCTGTTGGCAGTGCATAGGATGTTCAGTGCTCTTCTCCAACACCACAGCTTAAAGGTGTCAATTCTTTTTCTGTCATCCTTATTCATGGTCCAGTACTCAGATGTGTATCAAGTAATGGGAAAGACCACGGCCTGAATCCGATGCACCTTAGTCCTCAAATTGACATCATTACTCCTCAATAATTTGGGAAGGACCTTAATTGTGGATTTTCCCAGTGCAATGCATCTCCTTATTTCATGACTGTTGGTATCATGGTGTTAACTCTGGTTCCAAGCAAACTGAAGCTGTTGGCAGTTTTCATCTCCATCATTCATGATGCTGCCTATATATAGGTCCAGTGGTTAAGAATCTTTATTTTCTTGATAGTGAGATACAATCCATATGGAAGGCTGCATTCCTTTATCTTCTGCAACAAGTGCTTCAAGTCTTCCTCACTTTCAGCAAGCAAGGTTGTGTCATCTGCATTACACAGGTTATTGTTGAGTCTCCCTCCAATCCTGAGGCCATATTCTTCCTCACAGAGTCCAGCTTCTCAGATAATTTGCTCAGCACACAGATTAAATAGGTATGGAGAGAAAATATAACTCTGACACACACCTTTTGCAATTTTAAACCATTCAGTGTTCCCTTGCTCTTTTCACACTACAGCCTCCTGGTACAAGTGTAGGTTCCACATGAGCACAATTAAGTGCTCTGGGATTCTCATTCTTCTAAATGTCAGCCACCATTTGGTATGATCTATAGTCAAATGCTTTTGCATAGTCAGTAATGCATACATATTCTTCTGATATTCTTTACTTTCAGCCAGGATCCTTCTGACATCAGCAATGATGTCCCTGGTGCTATGATGTCTTCTAAATTCTGCCTGAACTTCTGAAAGGTCTCTATCTATGTACTGTTCTAGATGTTTTTCAATAATCTTTAGCAGAATTTTGCTTGTATGTGGTATCAATGATACCAGTTGGATCATCTTTATTAGAAATGGGAATAAATATGGACCTCTTCCAATCTGCTGGCCAGACAGGTGTCATCCAAATTTTCTGGCATAGACTAGTGAGTGCACTCAAGGCTGCATCTGTTAGTTAAAACAATTCAATTGGTATCCCATCAATTCCCGGGGCCTTATTTTTTGCCAAAGCCTCCAATGCAGCTTCTATTTCCTTCTTCATTACCACTGGCTCTTGTTCATATGGTTGTTGTTGTTATGTGCTGTCAAGTCGTTTGCGACTCATAGCGACTCTATGTACAACAGCCCTAAACCATGCTCTATCCTGTGCCAATCCCATTGCCTCTGTCTGACACACCCATCCCGATTACCCCAGTCACTGAATCAATCCACCTCATAGAGGGTCTTCCCCTCCTGCGCTGTCCCTCTACTCGACCCAGCATGATGTCCCTTTCTAAAGACCTGTCTCTCCTTACAACATGTCCAAAGTATGTCAGACGAAGCCCCAGAATCCTTGCCTCCAAGGAGCAGCCTGGTTTAATTCTCTCTAGGATGAATCTGTTTGTTTTCTTGGCAGTCCATGGTACATTCAATACTCTTCTCCAGCACCACAGCTCAAAGGCGTCAATTCTCCTTCTATCCTCCCTAGTCATTGTCCAACTCTCTGATGCATAACAAGTGATTGCAAAAACCATGGCCTGTATCAGGCGCACCTTAGTCTCCAGAGAGACGCGATTGCTCTTGAGTACTTTAGAGAGGTCCCTAACCGCAGACTTTCCCATCGCAATACGTTTTTTTATTTCCTGGCTACTGTTGCCAAGAGTGTTAACCGTGTTCATATGGTACTTCCTGAAATTTTTCTGTATCAATCAAAACTTCCTGGTATACCAATTTTGTGTATTCCTTCCATCATCTTTGATGCTCTGTAGGTCATTCAATATATTGTGACACAAGGCTTAAATCTGTTTTTCAGTTCTTTCAGTTTAAGAAATGCAGAGTGATTTCTTCCCTTTTATTCTCCAATTCCAGCTCTCTGCACATTCCACTGTAATACTTTGCTATGTCCTCCAGAGCTGCTCTTCAAAATCTTCTATTCAGTTCTTCCACTTCAGTATGTTTTCCTTTGGTTTTGGCTTCTCGATGCTCCAGTGTAATCTTTAGAGTCTCTTCTGATATCCTTTTCAGTTTCTTCTCTTTTTTTGTTACAATTTTTAAAAAATTTTATTTACATTGGTTTACATACAAAGTTCATAAAGTTGATAAACATTGTTTTCACACCAGACTGTTCCCCTATCCCTAGCTCCACCCATCAAACTGTGCAGCCCTATATTTAAGAAACCTCCTCCCAACCCCAGATCCTTGTACATGGCTCTATGACATTTTACTTTCTTCATGGATGATCCTTTATATGATCCCACAACTCATCTGGTCTTCAATCACTGTTGTTCAATGCCTCAAACCTTTTCTTAATATGATCATGAAATTCAGATGGAACTGATTCAAAATCACATCTTGGTTCCTATGGACTTATTTTCATTTTCTTCAGCCTCATTTTGAACTTGCCTATGAGAAACTGATAATCCGTCCCATAGTCTGCCCTGGCCTAGTTTTGACTACTAATAACAAGCTTCTCTAATGAGTTCTCCTACAAATGTAGTCAATCTGATTCCTATGCAGCCTATCAGGTGAAATCCATGTGTAAAATCATTTGTGTCTTTTAAAAAAAAGGTATTTCAATGAATAAATCATTGTAAATACAAAATTTAATCATTTTATTTCCAGCCTCATTTCTATCACCAAGCCCCTATTTTCCAAATACTGTTCTTTTCCTACCTGGTATTCCAGTCACCAATTAACATTATTTTGATTGCCTGGTTTGGTCAATTTCATACTGCAAAATTTAGTAAAAATTCTCAATTTCTTCCTCTTTGGCTTTATGTAGGAAATATATTTGAGTAACAGTCGTGTTAACAGTCTTTCTTATATGCCTATGATATTATCCTATCATTCATAACACTGTATTTCAGGATAGAACTTGAAATTGACTTTTTGACTATGACTACAACAAAATTCTTCTGTTTTTCATTCCCTGCACAGTGAACCATATGATTATCTGATTCAAAGTGGCCAAAGCTAGTTCATCTCTTCTTACTAACGTCTAGAATGTCGATATGCATTCGTTCCATTTCATTTTTAACAATTTCCAGTTTTCCAACATACAAGCTACATACATTCCATGTTCCTTATTAAATGATGTTTGTTACTGTTTTTTCCTCATTTCAAATGACTTCCTGTGTGGGCCTTACCACTACACTGCTATAATGATCCTTTCTCTAATGTTCACAGGGCTTTCAAAGGCCAAGGATTTATCAAATGGCAAACATTCAAAACGCTATTCTGGGGTTAGGAATCAAAGGAGTAATTAAATCCACAGGAAAACAAAAATCTTCAGGTCAAAAAATACTCCTGCTCTCTATCTAAATCTTTCCCGAGCTTAAAATTCACTTTCTTTTATTTATATTTGTAGTTTTAAGTTAGTGATAAACCTACAATGTCTGATCCACGAAACAATTAAGTCTGAGCAAATAACCCGACTTGCCTATATTCAAAGAACATAATATGCTTAAAATAACAAAAAAAAAAGTGCTGCCAAACAACTCCATACTCCACAGGGTTTTGAAGGTTATAATTTTTCAAAAGCACATGATCAGGCCCAAGTACCACGTGCTTCTGGGTGGATTTAAACCAACACTTTTCAGTTCGCAGTGGTGTGCTCAACTATCCATGCCATTCAAAGACATTAAACCTTTCTTTCCAACTCAATTCCATTTTCCTACAGTCATAACAATTTTATACCAAATGGTCATAAAAACAGAATGGTTAAAAAAAAATAAATTAAAAATCTACTAAACAGACCCAGGGAGCCTCAAGAGAAGGCATGACCCTACCTATTTCCTTCTCATTTTCAAATGCTGTGAGGGGTCGCACATCTTCATTTACTTCATGTTCTTCAAATACCATTTCTGGCTCAGTTATATACTTGGCAGGAGGAGAAGACGCAATTTTCTTTCCCTTATGCGAACCAACATGGGTTCGAACTTCATTCCTTCTGCTCGGAAATATCTCTATGTATCTGTGTCAAAGCAAAAATAAATAGGCTTAAGTCACGTAAAGTTAACTTTGAACCCATTTAAAACAAATGTGCATATAATAACATCAAGAACTTACGAAAAACAGATATCCAAAGAGAACAAATGAAACAAGGAAAGGTAGCAATGGGATGGGCAGTAAAAATAGATGTAATATTTGTCTATAAAAAGTTTTCTTACCACTAACTGATTTAATCTTTTCCCCTCCAGAAAACAGTGTTCATATATATTTAACAATTTCCTTTATCTGCTTTACATCATGAAGAAACTATCCTAAGTTTAACTGTGTGTACTGAAAAGAAATAACCTGATTAGGAGTTTTTCTTGTTCATTTGGTTAAGAATTTCATGTAGTTCAACTCTAAAAATTTATCACATTTGACTAAGACATCACAGTATTTGAAAAGCCAACTTTTTTAAAACTGCACTAGTCAAGGGATGAGAATTCTGGAACTAAATGTCAATTCCAACTTACTTCCATAACAGCAAATAACCTCTATCAATCAAATCCAAGTTTCTGAAATTTATTTTGAACCACTGCTTTTCTAAACTAAGTTATTAAATTTAAGTTGTAAAAGTAATCCAGGAAGCTCTGGTAGCCTAGTGGCAAGAAGCTGCACTGTAATATCCCAGAGGTACATAGTTCAAATTCACAAGATGCTCTGCTGGAGAAGGAAGGGCAATCTCCTCCTGCACCAGTCAGATCTGATATGATGGTACACACACAAAAAATAATAATAATAATAAAAAAAAAAATTTTTTTTAAGTAATCTGCAGTTTCTGGCCAGAAAGAGTACACTTCTTAACTGATGATATTTGTATACTGCATTATCATTCCTACATAAAAACAGCTATGTATTCCAAGGTAAAAGAAAATGTAAAGATGATGTTGGAAGAAAGTTGGAACGTCAGGGAGTGCTTCATCTAATAAAATTCAATAAAGGCCTTTTAACAAATGTTATAAACAGACATCAGCTTCTTTTAAAGCAGAATTTAAAAAAAAATTTAACAAGGTCAATAAACAGTAATTTAAAACTCACTAATATTTTGACTACACTTTGAAATCAAAGTATAATAAGTCTATTGACCATTATACTCATTTTAATGTGATGTGATCAAGGCTTCAAAATGGTTCTTCTTGCTTTAGTCATGGCCGATAAATTCAAACTTTAATGAATCTGATTTTGGAAAATATGAGTGACCTGGAATAGCCATGAGAAAAAGAAAAAAGTCTGTACACAGTGTACTGCTCAAAGAAAGAGGTCCACCACACCACCCTGAATGTATCGATCTCCCCAGTCCTAGCAATAAATCCTATTTCCTGCATCAGATTGTTAAACGGGCTCATCACACTTTTAGATTTCCATGCCAGGGCTTTGAACTATAATTATTCCTGCTCCAGTTTTTGTTCTATTTGACTCAAATATTTAGAATTCAGATCTATTGTGAGTTTACTTCATTGACCATAATTCAGTCTAGATTCGGATATGATACAGAGCACAACCTATAGAAATCCTTATTAAAACGTTAACCTTACCAATTCAAAACTTTTACCTATCAATTTGCAGTCTCCAGGAAATAAAAGAGCAGTAAAACAAGTCAACTGACATCAGGAGGGGGTATTAAGACAGATAAGTGAGAAACTACAAGACAACTCACCAGATTTCTATCAAAGTTTAAAACAAAGAAAAAGTTAAAAGCACTTGAGAAAAACTGAAAACACTGTAAAATGAAAGGTTCTGCTCTGACTTAAGAGAACTAGAAAAATAATAATCAAAGGCAATATTCAGACCTTATCTGGATCCTGGTTCAAACATATCAACTGTAAAAAAAACGCACTCTGGGACAACTGGCAAAATGTAATTATGGACTGCCATTAAATAATACTAAGTTTTTTTTAAGCGCTATAATGAAACTGTAATTATGTGAGCGTATGTTGCTTTTTAAAAAGATGAATACTGAGAAAAAAAGATGAATGAATCATAAAATATTAGTAATCTGTTCATGTAAGTGACGGTCCATTACATTATTCTATCATACTATGTTTGCAAACTTCTACACTCATTAATACCCACAACACAAAATGACCTAATGTATTATCATTCTGCTTTATTACTTTCTATGTAACTCACCGATTACCAATTTCTTCCCTATGCTTCAACAGGGCTTGGTTGGCCATTTCTGGTTCTTCAAACTGCACATAGGCTTCCCCTGTTTTTCTCCGTCCTCTGTAGTCCATAACAAAAGTAATGTCTACTATATTCAGTCCTAGGACACACACACACAAAAAATACAACAAATGAGTATTACTATGAGACCTTTTATCTCCTTGAAAAGCAAGAATGTCAGCTTAAAGACTAAGTTGCTTTCTGACTCAAGCCATGGTATTTTTCAACTGCTTTGCAAGCACTGATGAAAGAACTGTTGTCTTTGTGGTGCTAGAGAAGAGTATAGAATATGACATGGACTGACAAAAAGAACTAGTCAATCTCTCAATAGGGCAGTCAGGATACTCCTGGGAGGCAAGGATGGTTAAGACTTGGTCTTAAACATTTTGAACTATTATGAGGAGGGGTCAATTCCTAGAAAATGACATCATGCTTGAAAAGGTAGAGGGTCAGAGAAGGAAAGGAAGAACCTCAATAAAATGGACTAACAGTCACAGTAATAACAGGGTTAAGCAAAGTCGAGAATGTGAGGATGGCCCGGAACAGAGCAGTTTCAATGTGTCGTATGCAGGGTCACTGTAAGCTGGAGTCAACTGAACAGCACTTAACAACCTTTATCCCCTACGTATTAACACACTTATAATAAAATTTTTGTGCTACTTTGCCTGTCCCAAAGCTGGACACATACCCAGAAAGAAAATTATTATAAAATCAAAAGGTAACAATACTATATACTTGTATTTCAGAATAAAAGTAACAGGGTCCCAGCAGTCTACCTGTAACAAACTCCTACTTCTTTTTTTGTCATCCAAGCAACTTGATGGCACTTACCAACAACAACATTATAGACTGAGGAGCAGCTGAGATTTAAGTCTTAAGAGATTACAAATAATGGTGCATTATTTTTAACTAGAGATTAGAAAATTATTTTAAATAAACTATTAATACAATCATGATAATGAGAAAATATAGTTTAACGGTGAACTCTGACCTCCTTCAAAGATCTGTCAATGAGATCAAAGCTTTTTTATGTCCCCTTTTGCAGCACCCAGCTCCTCAACCTCCTTGTAAAAGAACAAAACTTTCATCTATAATATTAGGGAAGTCTGGTGGTACAGTCCATAGGGAGTTGTGCTGCTCATCTAAAAGTAGCCATCTTCTCTGGCAGTTCAAATTCATCAACCTTTGAGGGAGAAAGATGGACAACCTCTTCTCGTGCAATTTATAGCCTCCAAAAACCCATTAGAAATTTGGCTATGAATCGGTTCCAACTGAAGAGTAATGAGTTGGGTTAATTTTTTTTTTTATAATATTGGAAATATGGATCAAGAACTCCACTACAGGATCTACTGCAAATGCTTTTTGAAAAATACCTGCAAAGAAGTCTACAATGTCTTTTTCATTGCAACTGTAAGGAAGTCCTCGCAAACGAACCACACCATCATTTACCACAGGTGAAGATTTGACCTGCAAGTTCTTCATTAAGGCATCCACGTCTTCATTGTTTATCTCATACACTACAATGAAAAAGCACAAGAGATACACAAAAACTCTATCAAAGAAGGGTGTTAATAAAAAAAAAAAAACAAAAAAAACCAAACCCAAATACAACTTAGTAGGTAAAGAATTAAACATCTAACATTCTTAGTATTTAGGGGCTTCTCTGGAATAAATGACATTAACTGTTCAAAGACTAGTTTAACTCATTTAATTCACATGATTTACAATTAAATTCAATCAGCATGCTTCTTTTATTGGTAAGAAACTGAGATTATCTGTGCTTCATTTTCACAAGCGATAACATGGCTTCACTGGTTATCTAATATTTCACTAATGTTAGTGATCAAATGGAAACTTCCTTAAGAAGTATAAGGTGCTAACACAGTAAATTCCGAAAAGCCAGACTATGGTTTCCCATACCTTCCACATACCGCTGACCCATGTACATGCGGTGCTTCTCTAAGGCTTTCTGCACATCTTCCTCTGACTCCATTTCAATTAAGGCATCACCCCTTCGTTTCCCATCTCTATTTAAGAGGAAATGTATTCCATTCTCACCATTGCGGATTCTGCAGTCTAAATATGTGAATAAAATCAATTAAGGGCAGAAAAACTTTCAGCTAAATGATAAAAGTCACTATGAATGCAATTTTCTAATAGGAAAACAAAATATGAAGCAAAATGCCTTTCACAGTTTTTATGCTAACCCCAATCACTGAAACCAACCAAATATCTCAAAGTAGAAAAAATAAACAAACTTTACACTATTAAGTTTATGGTTTCCTGACCTTTTCACAGCAAATCAGTCAAAATGCATGTCTATCCATCACAATGTTTCCATAATCAGTTTCAAATAAGTTAAATAATTAAGATATGACTAAATTATGCGTTAAATATCTTAACTATTCTAATTACCTTCTGTAATAATAATTTTGCTTCCATATTTTATTTTCCTCCATTTTCATCATGAAGGAAAGGAATCTCTTAGAATGGAAACAAGGTTAAGGTGCAATTGGCTTATAAAATGCTTGACCATATAATGACGCAGATTAAAATATCTTTTTGATCATATTAAGGTAGCATTTAAAAAAGCTTTTCAAGAGGAAATTTTAAAATCACAAAAATGAAAAACATTTTCAAATATATTAAGGGTACATTATTACTCCTGTGTTCTACATGTATGTGTGCATGCTATATATCAATCTAAATGCATCCCATAAAGAGCTAACCTTAACCTCATGTGTCTACTATCAGGTTTGGCTTTTTCCTATGTACATGTAAAAACATCAAAAAAGTGGGTTGATACCACACAATCTCAACGTTTCAAATTAAATGTTTAAAATTAACTACTTTTGTGGTATACAAAGTCTTTAAATTTTATATGCCACAAGTGGTACAACACATGGAATCACTTAGTATAAACACATAACCAGCCAGGTTGAGACAATTCCCAAATAGGATATGTGCAGAAAAGAATGACTTGGATTTTTGTAGGATTTATGTCTTCTAGTCTGATAAAATTACATACATATTTATAGTGTTGTTCTGTGCCATCGAGTCACCTGCGACTCATAGTGACCCTATGTACAACAGCTCCGAAGCCTGCCCTGTCCTTAGCCAGTCTCAGTGACTCCAACACATCTTCCCCCATTTCCCTGAACAATCCATCTCATAGGGGTCTTCCTCTCCTGCTCTGTCCCTCTACCCTTCTGAGCATGATGTCCTTCTCCAAGGACTGGTCCCACCTGGCCATATGCCCAAACTATGTGAGAACTTCAAAATCCTAGCCTCCAAGGAGAAACATGATTTCACCCTCTCAAAGACAGACATATTTAGTGTACCTATAAAATATACCTGAGAAAAAGTTAAGGACATCTTCCATAGTGCATGACCAGGGCAATCCTTGAGCGCGAATGAGATAAACATCATCCACTTCCTCGCCTAATTTGGATGGAGCCAGTTCATATTCAGGGAGTGATGGAAGGTCTTCCAGGTAGGTAGTTTTTGACTCCTTCCAAGATAAATGAAGAAATGTGAAAACTACTTCTCTGATAAGATAGAAAATATTTTTCTTTTTTTTTCTTAGATTTTTTTATTATTATTATTATTTTATTATTTTGTGTGTGTACCGTCAAATTGGATCTGACAGGTACAGGAGATTGCACCTCCTTCTCCAGCAGAGCATCTGGTGGATTTGAACCGCATACCTCTGGGATTACAGTACAACTTCTTGCCACTAGGCCACCAGAGCTCCCTAGAAAATATTTTTCTATAGACAGATATCCTAGAAAAGTCTGGCAGCACTGCACTACTAATGGAAGTCAGTAGTGTATTCTCTAGCTGCTCCACAGGAGAAAGATGGGAGTCTTCTTCCTTAAAGTTATGTTGTTGTCGTATACTGTTGACTCAGAACCAACTCACAGTTAACTTGTGTTTTCTGAGGCAGTAAATTGTTTGGGAAGAGATTGTCAATCTTCCTCCCCCAGAGCAGCTGGTGGATTCAAACCACCTGTCTGTAGGTCCGCAGTACAACTCCTTAAACTAAGCCATCAGAGCTCCCTATTAAAGATTATCACCTCAGAAACCCTGTGGAAGGTAGGCATCAGTTGGAATTGACTTGATGGCAGTGGATTCTGTCAGTGGGTTAATACTCTGGATATTATTTGAGGATGGGAATGATCCTAAACTCAATGTTGCCTAGTCAATTCCAATTCATGGCAACTTCGTATGTTACAGAATATTACTGCTGCATAAGGTTTGCTGGCTGTAATCTATGGAAGCTGACTGCCAGATCTTTCTTTCACAGTGCCGCTGGGTGAGCTCTGTTATTTCACAGGTAAAAAGTAAATTTTATAAATATTACGCATTCTTTTTAGCCTAGACTGTACATCCTAAATCGACAAGCAGGTATATTGCAATATTTTAGGAAGACATGAATTTTATTCAGGGTTTGAGTTAATAAACTCTACATAAGAGATATAATTTTTTTTTTTATTAAGACAGTACAAGAAGTCCTTTCAACAAATGTTTGGCTAGCTTATATAGATACCAAAAAGCCTACTTCAACTCTTGGTGTTCCCCAGGTTGTAAATCTTTACAAGGAGAATACCCATCTTTCTCTTGAGGGCTGACTAATGATTCACATCATTAACACACTACACACCATGATGGATCCGAATTGCAAGAATCTGTCATTTAAAACAAGACAGGAGTCAGGCAAAACAAAATACTTTATGTGTTTTCATGAAGATACAAATTTTACAGGCTTTCAAAACAGAGCATTAAAAGACAATCAGAACATGAGATGGGCCCTGAAGGATAGATAAAATTCCGACAGGGTAGGTAAAAGACAGGGCACTGCAGCTTAAGAAAAGGGAAACAGAGGGGAGCTCTGGTGGCCTAGTGGTAAGGAGCTGCAACTATAATCCCAGAGGCACACGGTTCAAATCCACCAGATGCTCTGCCGGGAAAAGGAGGGACAATCTCCTCCTGTACCAGTCAGATCTGATTTGACGGTACACTCACACAAAAATTTAAAAAAAAAGAAAGAAAAGGGAAATAGCAATATACAAAGGCCTATATGACAAAAACAGCAATTAATCACAGTTGGCTAAATTGCAGGGTACAATTAGGAGCCAAAGAAGATGAGCTAGCAAAAACAACTTGGTTCCATTATAGCAGAAGACCTTGAGGGGTAAGCTGGATGCATGTTCTTAACTTGGTAGGCAAAGGAGTGGGTAAATCAAGACAGCAGGAAAGATAAAGACCACCTGAATTAAAGAAAGATTACAAACAGCTTTTAAAAAGCAACATGAGGTTTGAGCCATACTTTAGCTACAAAATTGAGAGAGAAAAAATATATATGTATATATAAATTAAGCAAAAACTGGGATTTAAGAAGAATCGAAGAAATCCTATCACCAGAAACCTGAGTAGACGACTCAAGTCACCAACACCTGCATTTTGTGGAGCTCCAGACAGAAATGGCTACATTCTTTTGTACTCTTCCATCATTTTCATTAAGACTTAAATAAAATTTTAAGGCATCAATAAACGTCAACCTACAGCAGCACAGCGTCAACCAAGTAATAAACTATCAACAGATGATACACCTTTATAGTCAATTTCACAGAAAACAATGAAGAGTCCTGACAGCTTTGTAGGTTACAGGCTGGCCTACTAACCAACAGGTCAGCTGTTCCATCTAGTCCCTTCAAGAGAGAAAGCTGAGGAAGAATTCCCCTCAAGATTTACAACCTCAGGGAAGCTGGTGGAGTGTTGCCATGAATCCAATCAGCTCAAAGAGAACTTGGTTGGGTTTTTTTTGTGGGGTTTGTTTTTTGTTGTTTTTTTCCCTCGTTTTTTCATATAATAAAGGAGAACGCAACCCAACAACTTTCCCCCATTTTCTCAGAATTGCATACGCATCAGAAAAGGGCAGAAGAAACCACTGGCCAAGATTCAAATCAGTAGCTCTGCCACTGGCAAAAAGTGGCTACGCCGATACGCTGTGGAGCTCCCTAGCTTCCTCAAGTTAAAGAACGCAAACTGAATTAAGGCAAATATGATCCAAAGCATCGAAAGGCTCTGGTCAGCGTGCAGACACTTTTTAAATGCCACGTTTAACAGCGGAAAAGAAAACGTTCTGCAATGTAAAACATATCTGCAATCCGAGTTCAAGTGCACACTGACTTTAACAATTTAAAAAGAAAAACATGCGGGTTCACTCCAGAGCTCTCCAACCGTGGCTCCAAGTCCTAGGCCCTGGTTCGCCCTTCCCCCGCCCCGCCTATCAGTCTCCAAACTGTTTTCCCTGCTGCTGGCCATCCACCGTCCTGTCAGAGGAAGTGGTGGTGCAGAGGTGACCTTCAGTAACTAGGGCAGTCCGCCTGTCCCTGGGGACATTCGGGAGCGCGGCGTGCTGGGGGCGAACCTCTTTCCCCTAAGAATCCAGCCCACGCACCGCTGCCCGCGACGCGCACCCGCATCCGTCCAGGCCTACAGCTCCGGGTGCACGGAAACTCCCAGCCCTTCGCGGGGTCCGGCCTCCCAACTTCACAACCACCGAGAAGGGAGCGAGAAGAAGGCGGGGTGGGGGCGTCAAGAGCCTCCCAAGACCTACCATGGGCCCAGCGGGAAACAAGGCCTCAACATTCATCCCTAGCCACACTTACACTGCCCAACCGACCAAACACTCCAAGGGGGAGAACAAAACAAGGAAAAAACCCGAGGCCTAGGAGAGCGTCCCTTGTTCCGGGGCCCAATCGGAGCACAGGGCGGGCGGGGAGGCGGGTGTGCGGCGCGTGCCGCGGACCCTCGGGCGCGTCGTGAAGCGCACGCGGAGGGACGCGTGCGCGCGGCCCCCACGTACCTGGCTGTAGCACCTCGCCGGGCCCGCGGCCACCGCCAGCGACTGCGGCAGCAGAGGGGCGCGCAGAGCCGGGTAGGAGGCTGCAGCCGCGGCCGCGGCCGAAGCGGCGATGGGAGGAGGCCCCGCCAATCTCCCGGCGAGCGCAGGCCCAGTATGGAGGCCCCGCGTCTGAGAGGCAGCGGCCGCGGCGGCCCCGAGCAGCAGCAGCAGGCGGCGACGGCCCGAGACGCCGGAGGGGAACGAGCCGGCGGTCGAGTAGAAAGGCAGGCAGGCGGCGCCGGTGCGCCGGCAGCTGCTGCAGTTACACCCGCAGCCCCGGAGCAGCGCTCCGAGCACCCAGCGCGTCCCGGCCATGGACTCCGGAGGCGACGCGGGGCCTGCAGGCGGCTGCGGCTGCAGCGCGAGAGAAGAGGAAGCGGAATCCAGGGCCGGGGAGGTGGCGCCGGGCGCATGAGCCGCCGGCACCAGGGGCAGCGGTGAGTCGAAAGGAGGCGGAGGAGAGGCGCTGCTCCGCCTGGTCTCCGCCCTCTGGGCGGGGCCACCGGTCCCTGGCGTTCCTGACTTGCTGTTTTCTTTGACTCCCTAGAAACTGAGGCTGATGTTGAGGTGTGGCGCCTCCTTGTCGTCGGAAGAACTTGTAATACCCGGCTCTGGGCGCCCTGCAGGATGTCCCAGAAACGCGTGACGAGAGAGACAAAAGGGCCCTTTCTGAAAGGTGTGACATTCTGTGTACATTTCTGAAAGGAGGTGTGAGATTCTATGTACAAGACGTTGGAATAACACTTTTATTAGGCACCATCAAATTTGATCCATAGGAACCCTAAGAACAGATGTAAACCCAGTCCTCTTCTGTGCCATGCTTATCATCCCTGAAGCACTTGATAAAGATTGCTGCAGTCACTTTAATCCATCTGGTTGAGGATCTTCTTCTCTTCCGCCCACCTTTCACCTTTCCAAGAGTGATGTCCCTCTCTCTAAGCATAACCTAGGAACCTGCCCAAAGTATGTGGGACGAAACTTTGTCATTTTTGCCTCCAAGGAGCACTCTGGCTGCACTTTCTCAGACTTTCCTGTTTTTTCATTTTGCAGTCCATGGGCTGGATATCTGATATCTGTTCAGTTAACACCATTCTTTTTCTGTTTTTCCTTCCCAGCATAGTATGATTATGCTGGGGATGAAATAGCACTGTCTGATTAAGTGGCAGATCCCAGTCCATCTCATCTGACTAATACCTAGAAAGTCGATGTTCATACATTCCATTTCGTCTTTCATAACTTAATAGTTTTCTAACATTCATTCTTCATACATTCAATGTTCCATCTATTTCATATACCATACATTACATGTTCCAACTGTTAAAGTTTGTTTGCCGCTGTTTCCTCTTCATTTTTATTAACTTCCAATCTGGGCTCTAACTATTCATGTTCCTCTTTTGTTCATAGGGTTTTTAGAGGCCTGCTATTTAAGATGTAGATGGCCAATCCTGCTTTGTAGTCTGTCTTAATTTGGGAGCTTGACCCACAGATTGGTGGCATAGCTTTCAGCATCACAGCAACCCACAAGTTATCTCAGTACAGAAAACTGACAGTTGCTGTTCTAATAAGAACAATGATAAATAATTAAGAATATAGATACTTCAACTCAGGCCATTGGTCTTTTCAGTCACTTGCTATGCTGCTGAAGGCTAGACAATGAATAAGGATGACTAAAGAACAATTGATGCCTTTAAACTGTTGTGTTGGAGAGGAATATTGAATACCCATGGATGCCAAAAGAAGGTGCAGCCATAGTGCTCCTTGGAGGCAAAGATGATAAAGCTTTATCTCACATACTTGGACCATGTTGCTGTGAGAGGCTATTACTTGGAGAATGACATCATGATTGGTATGGTGGAGGGATGATGAATGAGAGGAAGACCCTCAACCAGGTATATTGCCACAGTGACTACAGCTGTGGGCTCGAATATGTCAGAGATTGTGAGGATGACACAGGATAGTATAGGGTTCAGATCTGTTGTTCATAGGGTCACTATGAGTTATATTTGACTCAGTGGCACCTAGCAATAACAAACTATAAGGTAATTAGCAATACGTAGATCATTCCCCTGATACAACAAACTAACAGTTAAGTCTTATATCTCTAACAGCAAATCAGGTATAAGAATATCATGTTGCCAGATCCAGTAAAGGCCTGTGGAGGCGTGGTAGGAAGGGACCCCTGCTGGATGTTGACATGGAATAACATAGAAAATTCATACTGAAATCTAAAAGGGATTTTCAGATGTCAGTATCCCAAAGTCTGAAAAGGAACACTGGTGCTGTGGTGGTTAAAGTGATTGGCTACCAACCATAATATGGGCATTCCAGTGATGGAAGAAAGGTGGTGTAGCTTCTTAAAGAGTTACAGTCTTGGAAACTCTGTCTTTTATAGCGTCATTGTTAGTTGGAATCAATATGTAGGCAATGAGTTTAGGCAGGTTTTAGTGTTTGTTGTTGTTGTGTGTCGAAACCAACCCATAGCTGACCCTTCAGTGAATTTTCAGTAGCAGTTAATTGCACAAGAGGAGATTGCCTATCTTTCTCCCATGGTGGATTCAAACTGCATGCCTTTGGGATTGCCCTGAAGCTTTTTAACTCTAGATAATCAGAGTTTCCTTTGTGCTGGTGGTTGTTATGTAGCCTGAAAAATGTGTTAAAAACTTGTTTTACTGCTTCCTCCTCACCTTGACTGCTTGCTATACCTGCACCTGCCTGTAGCCCTCATGCCTCGCCACCATGGCTTGCAAAATTGAGGAAATCAAAGACTTTCTGCTCACGCCAAGCTGAAGGATGCCAGATATGTCAAGGTCAAGAAAAATAAGGATAATATGAAGATTAAGGTTTGGTGCAACAGGTACCTTTATATCCTGGTCATCAGAGGCAAAGAGAAGGTGGAGATTCTGAAGCAGTCCCTGCCTCCAGGTTTGGCAGTGCAGGCACTAAAATGAACCAACATGCTGATTTGAACTATAATAAACTCTTAAAACAAAACTTGTTTTTACTTTAAAATTGCCACAGATGGCTGGGGCAATAGAGGCAGGTGTGTCAGAGACAGAATAGGACAGGGTACAGAGCTATTGTGCATTGGGTCACACAGTTTCAGGTGACTTTGACAGCACATAACAGCAACACACTTATTTGTAATAGTATACATAGCAGTCAGGAAATCAAAAGACAAATTGCATTGGGAAAATCTGCTGTCAGGGACATCCTTAGAATCCCGAAGAGCAATGATGTCAGTCTGGAGACTAAGGTGCACCTGATACAGTTACTTTCTGTGTGTCAGAGAGTTGGACAATGACTAAGGACAATAGAAGAAGAATCGATGCCTTTGAGTTGTGGAGAAGAGTGTTGGACATACTGTGGACTGCTAGGAGAATAAACAGGTCAGTCCTGGAGAGAGTGAAACCAAGCTACTCCCTGGAGGCAAGGATTTTGAAGTTCTGTCTTACAAACATCGGGTATGTGGCTAGGAGGGACCAGTCCTTGGAGAAGAACATCATGGTTGGAAGCATGGAGAGACAACTCAGGAAAGGAAGACCCAGTACGAGATGTATTGACTCAGTGACTGGAGAAGCAGGATTGGGTCTGCCGGAGAGTATAGGATTGGTTTAGGATAGGACAGGGTTCCAAGATGTTGTACATAGGGTCACTGTGAGTCACAGGTGACTCGACAGCACATAACATCAACAAGATACAGCAGAGAAAACGCAAACTCACTCCTGTAAAGTCAGACTAGACTCATATTTAACCATCCAGCAAGTTTGTGAAACTGTAAATCACTCTGGACAAGATTGCTCATCTTTGTCCTTTACAGCTTTTCATGGATTCCAATGACCAGAGAGGACTGGTCTTTGGATTAGCAGCAGAACTCCCCACTGACTAGGTCACCAGTGCTCTTTTTGTAAAGAACCACCCCTTTTGAAATAGTGTATTCACAGGTGGATCTGCAGTGGTTTGCAAAAAAAGCAGTTCTAGAGTATTAAAAAAAAAGATGGAAAATGCCAACACATGTAGACTTTTTTTACATTATGAATACAAAACAATAATTATAATGAACTTCCAGAACTTTAGAAATGAGCAGTATTTTTTAGATTTCTTTTTCCTTTATGTTAACCCCCTCTATCCCCAAAAATACCCATTTTCCTTTGCTGGGATATTGTAAAGTAAATCTCAAGGATCATGTCAATTAACCTTTCAGTATCTTAAACTGATAATGATTTAAATAAAACAAAACAAAAGTCTATGCTATTCTGATAAAGTTGTTTAAGTATTTGAGATTATCTTGTTTACTTTGACTTGTTCACTCTGACCTGAGTCTCTGTGTGGTGCAAATATACTGCAGACTGAAAGCTTGGAAGCCAGGGGTCCATCAAGGGTCATCTCAGAAGAAAACCCTGGCAGTTTAATTTCAGAAAAATCTGTGGAGCACTATTCTATTCTGACACTCTTGGGTAAGTGACTGAACAGAAAGTGATATGTAGGGAAAATAAAGTTACTTATTTCTCTGTTCCATTTCTCACCCTAAAAGCAAAGAACAAAGAAAAGCAAGATTCAATGCACTTAGAATACCATAGAGAAAGATTCATCATCTTTAAGAACCCTAGAGGATTTTTTTAACCTCCTTTTTAAGAAAAAAAAAATGGTTAATCATTTTAAAAAAAATGGTTAATCCTAAATGAGGGTTAGCCTTTCCTAACAGCTTATATAAATCAGCTTGTAGACATGTTGGGAGATTCTACTTAAAAGCCGCAGCCGTAGTCCATGATGTGTGAATCCGAATGGTTAAAAACTCTAAATGCTCAGAAGTGGAATTGCTGGCTCAAATGATATTTTTTAAAAAAAAAATTTTAATTGTATTATTTTTTACGTGTACCATCAAATCAGATCTGAGTGGTACAGGAGGATATTGCCCCCTCCTTCTCCAGCAGAGCATCTGGTGGATTTGAACTGTGGTCCTGTGGGATTGCAATGTCAAATGATATTTCTATTTGCAACCTTTTGAGAAAGCACCATACTGCCTTCCGTAGTGGTTGCACCATTTTACACTTCCACCAACAGTGAATAAGGGTTCCAATTTCTCCGCAACCTTGCGAGCATTTGTTGTTTGCTGTTCTGTTAAATTTTGCTATTCTTACTGGGATGAGATGATATCTCATAGTTGTTTTGATTTGCATCTCTTAGAGCTAGGGATTTTAAACATTTCCTCATGTGTTTGTTGGCCATATGAATGTCTTCTTTGGTGAAGTGTCTGTTCATATCCTGTGCCCATTTTTCAATTGGGTTATTTAACTTTTATCTTATTGTGGTGCTTG